TTTTTCCCCCACATAATTGTCTATCATTGGTTTATTGTGATTTTTAATCATGGCATAATATTCTCACTGAAATGCGTAAAAGTTTACTCTGTCACATCCCAGCTTGGAATTTTAGGCTGATCCCAACTTTTCATATTATAAATAATTTTGTTAACATGGCTGCCCATATTGTGTATACACGTTTTACCTATATTTTGGATTATTTCCTTAATATAAATTCTCAAAAGTCACATGCCTAGACCAAGGGAATTTAAGTTACTTGCCACATTGTTTGGAAAAAGAATGGTAGCAACATAAAGTGCCACCAGTTCAATCAGACCTTTGGCATTGCCTGTTGTCATTGAGAAAGCTATTGGTCGTCAGTTAAATTCTATGTTTCAATTTGTACATTTTAGATACTGGTGAGATTACACGTTCATTTTTGTCCTAAGTGAAAAATAGCTAGCAAGAAAGGAAATGCATTCCATGAGTTTTCTATTGGTTATTAGATTTCACGTTTTTTCTTAATTTGTATATCCTTTAAAAATCATACTCTTCTTTAACCTGGACTGTGGTATTCTGGATGGGATCCTGAAACAGAAAAAGATATTCAGTAAAACCTAAGGAAATCTGAATAAACTATAGGCTTAAGTTAATAATGTATCAGTATCGATTCATTGATGTACTAATATATGATGTTAATGATGTGGACAATTGGGTGAGAAGCTATATGGGAACTGTATCATATTTTCTCAAATTTTCTATAAATCTAAAATGTTTTAAAATGGATAAAACTATTTAAACCAAACAAAACAGTGTGCATTAACTGGTCAGAGGACTGCCATACCCTTCAGGCTGGTGGCAGGTCAGCGATGTTATCTGTTCCACCCCGGGAGATCGTCATTCCATCAGCTCTCAACAAACGTCATCTTTCTTCAAATCTGTGACACACCTGTGCACGTACAAGTGTTCTGGGGGAGGGGCACCTGGCTGGCTCAGTGGGAACAGCATATGACTCTTGATCTCTGGGTTGTGAGTTTGAGCCTCACGTTGGGTATAGAGATTACTTAAAAATAAAATCTAAAAAATAAAAAGTGTTCTAGGGGAAAGGACTGTGTATTTGGTGCATTCCAAAGTAGAATTAGATATTTTGAATCCATATGACACGAGTAAGAATTCTGCCAACCTGCATTTGGTTTTCTGGACCTGATGCAATGTGTTGTTTACTTATTAATAAAAGCATTAAACATACTAAAGAGTCTTTCAGTTCTGTCACTGACTGGAATTTTCCTCTAAGGTAAAAAGGATCCAGAGAACTCCATAAGAAAATGTGGTAAAATGTTGATGGGTTAATCCTTTTGACTATTATTAAGTCTTTACTAAACTGATTTTCAGTGCTAGGTTTTAAATTAATTTTAGAAACACAGAGGAGAGATATATCTGCCTAAATGGTGGGATTCTGAGAATGGAATGTTGGGGACTGAGATATAAAATAAGTTTTTCCTGGAGTGCCTGGGTGGCTCAGTCAGTTAAGCATCCAACTTTGGCTCAGGTCATGATCTCGCCATTCCTGAGTTCAAGCCCCGTGTTGGGCTCTGTGCTAACAGCTCAGAACCTGGAGCCTGTTTCAGATTCGGTGTCTCCCTCTCTCTCCCTGCCCCTCCCCCACTCACGCTCTGTCCCTTTCTCTCTCAAAAATAAATAAAAACAATTTTTAAAAATTAAAAAAAAATAAAACAAGTTCTTCCTTGATAGTCAGTGATCTGACCCAGGGCTACTGATACGTGTTCCTTTGTCCGTTTCACAGTCCTAAGAGAATGCTGAATCTGTGCTAGGACTTGATCCCTGCCCGTGTGGGATTACATGTTTGTGGGAGAGTTAGACAAAGGACCAATGAACAAACAAAATAATTTTAAATTGTGGTGCATAATACAAAGAAGGACTGTATGGACCTAGGGAAGAGTATGACAGGGGGAAGGGACAGAATTTTCAGGGTACCTGCCCTAGTAAAGGAGTCTTGGAAGTTCTTTGAGAAGATGGCATTTAAGCTAAAATCTGCAAAGTGAGAAGGAGCCATCTATACAGTACGAGGATTAGCATTCTAGAGAGAGGAATCTGCATGTGCAAAGTTAATAGACACTTTTACAATGACCCTTTCTTTTTCTTGACTGTTACAGCATTATGACATCATTGGATGTTATACCCTTTATACCAGTTAAATGTTTCCAAACAAGATACGTAGTTCTATTGAGACCATTTTTCTTTTCTTTGAAAACAATGAACAGAACATTTTAAATGTTAAGAGAATATCAATGGGTGCATGATGCACACTGTTGAACCATTAAATAAAAATATTGGAATTATTAAATAAGTCAGAAAATCTGGCAAATCCCCTGATAAACCAATACAACCGCATATGATGGATCAGTAAACAATTTGAATTTTTCTTTGTCAGCTCTTAGATTTAAATACGACCTGAAGAGTTACAATATTCTCATTGTATCAGCCTTCTATCAAAGTTCTTTTTTAGAGTAACTTTGAAACAATGGAATGAATTCTAGGAATCTATTATCCAATTGGGAGATAGTCGTCTACCTCCTGGAAATGTGGTTTCCAGACTTTTTTTGATTCTAAGATATTTAATCTGCTGTTTCTCCTGCCCCAGCCTCTGGGATCAGTCTGCAGCATCCTTCTTTGCCAGGCTGGAAATGACACTGCTCACAGCCACTCACCACCCTTATTTATATATTCAACCTATCAGAATACTTGTGTGAATATGTTTCAGGTTTTTAAACTAAGATTTAAGGTAGCAAGCAAGTGGAGAGCAACTGATAGAAAGAACACACTATGCCTTCACAAATGTGACCTTCATTTATTTGTTATTTGTATTCATTTGAGAAAGGACTGGTTGAAGTGTAATTTGAAAAACTATGAAATGAATTGAGAGGTAAGTAAATGCTGTGAATTTATAACAGGAGGAATATTTAACATAGAGAATACTTTTTTAAATTACCTGAGAAACTCTTAAAGACCTAACTATAACCTATCTACTAATTTAATGCCAGTAAATTTAATATGCTAATTTAGAATAATTTGTATTATGTAAATTTCTACTTATGGAAAACTTCTTTTTAGTTTCTTTATCTTAATGGGTCTGAAAGTTTACAGTTATATTTAACTATGTGTCATGCATATGGGAATCTTATGGTACCTTAAAACTTATTTACATTTTTTCTTTTAATGTGTATTCATTTTTTGAGAGAGAGGAAGACAGAGAACGAGCAGGAGAGGGGCAGAGAATCTAAAGCAGGCTCCAGGCTCTGAGCCATCAGCACAGAGCCTGATGCAGGGCTCAAACTCACAAACCATGAGATCATGACCTGAGCTGAAGTCTGGCACTGAACCAACTGAGCCATCCAGGTGCCCCAAAACTTATTTACATTTGGAAGCTGGAGATTTATTTTTCTTTTTAAAATAACCTGGTTAGAATTGTCAACCTCTAAACAAATACTTTTATTTCTCCAAAGACAAAGAATTAGGCTCAAATATCATCACCTCATTTTCAACAAATTGTTTTTCTTTCCTTCATTGACCTACTTAGATTACTTTTAAAACTTAAAAAAAAAAATTGAAAAACATGGCCTACATACAGAAAAAGCATTTGTAATGCATAGTTTAAAGAATAATAAGGGGCGCCTGGGTGGCTCATTTGGTTGAGCATCTGACTCTTGATTTCGGCTCAGGTCATGATCCCAGGCTAATGGGACTGAACCCCACATCAGGTTGTGCACTGAGCGTGGAGCCTGCTGAAGATTCTCTCCCTCCCTCTTCCCCTTCCCTGCTCACACTTGCACATTCTCTCTAATAATAATAATAATAATAATAATAATAATAATAATAACAAAATAAAGAATAGAAAAATGAAAAGACCTAAACAGTTACCCAAGTATCAGAAAAAACATTTATATTTTCAGCATTTCTTGTGTACTCTTCCGCATTGTATTTCCCTGCATTCCTCAAGAAGTAGCTACTATCTTGAAGTTTTGTGTTAGTTATTCTCTTGTTTTTCTTTATAATTCATATATATGTGTATGTATATGTGGATAGTGTATAGCTTTCTGGTTTTAAAAACTTTGTATGAATGGAATCATACTACGTGCTATAAAATGATTTGTTGTCCGACAGTATGTTGAGATTCTTTGTTGAGCTGAACATAGAGAGCGGAACACAGCTCAAGTTCATTAATTATGCAGTGCATCATAGGATTCAGTTATGTGGATATATCATACTCCAACTTATTTATCCATTATCCTTTTGATGGACATTTGCGTTGGGTTTAATTTTTTACATTTCATACCATGATGCTATGAATATCCTTGTACATGTCTCCTGGAACACATTTAAACCTTTATAGACTTCTACAACTGGTTTTGTGTGTGTGTGTGTGTGTGTGTGTGTGTGTGTGTGTGATTGGGGTTTTCTTTGTGTGTGTATAGCCCAAACAAATTTGATTTTTCTCAAATAAGGATTTTTTTAATTGGGTGGGCCAAATTGGCAGTGTAAGAAGGAAAATTAATGATTAGTTCTTTTGAGTGCTAGGAAATTCATGTCATGATTATCCTCAAGTTAAAATTCACTTAGATAAGAAAAAATGCTTGATGTTTTGTTTCTATTTTTATTCCTAATAATATCCGCTTGAAAAACTTACCCAATGAGCCAAATTTGTTTATTTTGTCACTTCATTTATTAGTATAACTAATGGTGGAGTGGAACTCTATAAGACAGTTTTACATACTTTATTCCTCTTGAGTTTCATGAACATCTGAGGAAGTAGGTATTATTATTCCCTTTTTCTAGATGCATCAACTAATGATCCACTAGATTAACAGACATGCCCAGATTCAAACTCTGTTATCACTCTCAGTATATATAATAGATCTGATTAATATTTTATAAATAACTTTTCGGACCAATATGGAATTTCTTGAGAACATTGACTGAAATGTAAATTGTTTCCACAGTTCCATCTCTCTTATGCGGAGAAAGAATTGTTGGAGAGAGAGCCAAGAGGAGAAGCCCATCAGGAAGTTCTTCGGCGAGCTGCCAAAGATCTCCCCATCTATACCAGGACCATGTCTGGAGGTACACGATAATGAGTGCTTTGGCACGATTCTTGTGGTGACCCTCAGCGTATTTATATACTTGAAACTGTCGAACACTCATTGAAATAGATTGTGTTATGTCTTGGGTGGTTATTCAGTCTTTCCTATACGATCCTATAAAACAGACACGTGAGTAACGGTGTGTGGCACAAAGATCTCAAACACATCAGCACGGACCTCACTTCCCTCGTGACTTCTCTAGTCACTTAGTTGGTACTCAGTGGAGATGTTAGAACTGCTGAAGTACTAATTTGTAGTTGGATTTATTTTTTAAATTAAAAAAAAAAATGTTAATGCTTATTTTTGAGAGAGAGAAAGAGAGAGGGTGAGTGGGAGGGGAGCAGAGAGAGAGGGAGACACAGAATCTGAAGCAGGCTCCAGGCTCCGAGCTGTCAGCACAGAGCCCAAGGTCATGACCTGAGCTGAAGTCGGACGCTTAATGGACTAAACATTTTTTTAAATGTTTTTTTATTTAGATGCACATGAGTGGGAAAGGTGCAGAGAGAGAGGGAGAGAGAGAATCCCAAGCAGGCTCTGTGTTGTCAGCTCAGAGCCTGACCCAGAGCTTGAACTCACAAACCATGAGATCATGACCTGAGCCACTGTAAAGTGTCGGATACTTAACTGACTGAGCCACCCAGGCACCCCTAATTTTTTTTAAAGTTTTAATTATAGACTTTTCCTATTATTTAATTTAAGGGAGAAATATCTATAATGAACATAACATTGACAATTTTACATAAATGTAAAGAAGTAATTGTATAAAGTATATAAAACTTAAGGGATTGATACAATTTCTTTATATTTAAAATGTATGGTAATTTTCTTTTTTATTTTTTTAAATGTACATCCAAATTAGTTAGCATATAGTGCAACAATGATTTCAGAAGTAGATTCCTTGGTGCCCCTTACCCATTTAGCCCATCCCCCCTCCCACAACCCCTCCAGTAACCCTCAGTTTGTTTTCCATATTTAGGAGTCTCTTTTGTTTTGTCCCCCTCCCTGTTTTTATATTATTTTTGTTTCCCTTCCCTTGTATTCATCTGTTTTGTCTCTTAAAGTCCTCATATGAGTGAAGTCATATGATTTTTGTCTTTCTCTAATTTTACTTAGCATAATACCCTCCAGTTCCATCCACGTAGTTGCAAATTTCATTCATAGTTGCAAGATTTCATTCTTTTTGATTGCCGAGTAATAACTCCATTTATATATACCACATCTTTATCCATTCATCCATCGATGGACATTTGGGCTCTTTCCATACTTTGGCGATTGTTGATAGTGCTGCTATAACAAATGCATTTCAGTTAATAAATCTCATTTACCTGGGTCAGATCTTTTAGGTAGTTTAGTAGCAATCTGATTAAAGAATTGTCTTAAAAATGGACATACATGACTATTGATACTTGCCCACCAAGACTCACCTAGAAATTTTGTGACTTTAGGCCTGTGCCACCTACTTTGGTAGCCACTAGCCCCATATGGCTGTTGAGCAGTTAAAATGTGGCAACTCCTGGGGCATCTGGGTGGCTCAATCGGTTAAGCTTCTGACTCTTAATTTCAGGTCAGGTCATGATCTCAGGGTCATGAGATGGAGCCCCGAGTCAGGCTCTGCACTGAGAGCACGGAGCAGCTTGGGATTCTCTCTCTCCCTCTCTCTCTCTGTTCCTCCCCGACTTATGCTCTCTTTCTCAAAATAAATAAATAAACTTTACAAAAAATGTGACCCCTCCAAATTGAGTTGTGCTTTAGGTATAAAATACACAACTGGTTTCAGAGGCTTAGTATGAAAACAAGAATGAAAACCATCTCATCAATATTTTTATATTATTTATGTTTGTTTCTAACTCACCTGAGAATCATAACTAAGTCTAAGTCAAAGTCTTGCAATTTTTTTCTGTTTGTTTTCCCTGGGCAAGTGGTAATTCTTTGGTTTAATATTAATGCCACTGGTTCTGTTCCACTGAGATGTGCTTATGTATGTTTATGTATATTGACATGACATAAGCCTAAGCAAATACTCAATTTAAGCCCTCTAAAAATAGATTACTGCACCAGTTTCCCAAACTGGTTAATGACAGTGACAGTTTAGGGTGCAAAAATCTAGTCTCCACATTCCTAGGTCAGTGCTTTCTATGGTACCCCTTGAAACACTGGGTCAAGAGAAAGGGAGGAAGCGTAGGTCCCACTTTAACAAAGTATTAATTTCCATTAGTAATAACTACACTTTGGATTTATAAGTCATCTCCTTGTGTTGTTTATATAATGTTAAGGCTCTTATCCCTCTGAAGTATTAGATACCTTTATCCTGAGATGAACTTACGGTTCTTAATATTTGTGACAGTGCAGAATACAATCTGGATCTCCTAATGTAATCTTTGTTTATATTTTCAGTGCAAAAATTTGGGATGCCTGATAAAATCAATATTAACTGACTAGAGTCACTGACTAAGTTAAATTATGCTAAGTATAATAAATAGATTATGTCAGTGTGATTGATCCCCCTCTGGAATGTATAAAATGTAAAGGAAAACACAATGCGGAATGGATGTTCAGAGGAGCCACCACACTACCACCAGGGCAGGATGTGAGGTGGGGGTCCTTCCTTCCTCACCCCCAGCAAAGACCCTTGGTTTCTTTGGATAACTTCCGTCTTCCCCCTGAGAAATTGACTAAAGCACCTAAAAGATGCAGTGTTCATGCACTTTGTATTTCAGAGAGAATTGAAGAAAGTGATAGTAATATAATTAAGGATTTTAGTATCCCTTCTAAATCCATAGTACTTCCTCCAAACCCCAGGGAGAAAAAGGCCAGCTGCCTAGATTAAGCTGCCCTACACAGAGAAAAATTCACCTACATACAGACTGGAATGTGGGGCGTAGTAAAGCAGGGTATTAACAGGACTGTTCATGTCACCTGTTTGTTCTGTGCTTTCTTCTGATCCCACCATCTTCTGTTTTCTTACAGGGATCACCAAACTTTATTGTAGATATTTTTCTATGCTTATTAAGTGAGGACTCTTTGCTTTTTCAGCTCTCTCTTGCCCTTGATCTTTTCCTAAAAAAAATTTTTTTTGTAGATTTTGACGTAAGAAGGTAACACCTAGAGGTGATGGAGCTTATCTTTTTGCACACAGATGTTGATAACATTGTTTTTCAACATTACCCAAAAAGGTTTTAAATTACATAAGTAAAGTAATATAAGAATAAACTCTGAAAAAATTCAAACAAGACAGTTAAAATTCTTCCTGACTGTTAACAGTTTTTTTTTTTTTTTAATTTTTTTTTTCAACGTTTATTTATTTTTGGGACAGAGAGAGACAGAGCATGAACGGGCGAGGGGCAGAGAGAGAGGGAGACACAGAATCGGAAACAGGCTCCAGGCTCTGAGCCATC